TCTCGTCACTAAGCGACTCAAATTCGTCCAACTCGCGCATGACGTCACTCGGAGGCAGAGCCTGGGGATTCCACGCTAATCGTGTGGATATTCTTTGATGTGAGGTAGAGCCATGAGGATCTCTCCCTCTCTCCGTTTTCGCTCGCTTGACTGACTGGCGCGCGCAAAGCTTGATTGACTGGCGTGTGCAAAGCCACAATGCTCGGTGGTTGGTTGCAGCATATATATGTACAATTACGTGCATGATTATGTATTGCCGCCATCATCATCATCATCATCATCATCATCATCATCATCATCATCATCATCATCATCATCATCATCATCATCATCATCATCATCATCATTATCATCATCTTCATCATCAGGTAGAGGTTGAAGACTGTGACGTACGTAGATAGAGGAAAATGGACACCGCCATCTTTTAGAGCAGAAGAAATAGAGTAGGATAGAAGTAACCTTAAGATGCACAGGCATTATATTTGCCGCTAAATGACGAAAATATAACGCGTGGCCGCCTTTCAAATTCAAAGTTGATGAGCTTGTTTACCTTGCGAGGAAAAACACGACACTGACCCACAAACGCATTTTTGCGTTCGCGAACTAGTCCGTGTATCATTACGCGCTTGTCAAAACGATATTTGGCTAATTATCTGTGTCTGCTGGTACGCATTTATACCTTTAAAGGCTTTCAGTAATGTTATTATACTTCATTTGCATATTTTTATATTTATCTATACCCTCATATCGAATCCTGCGCATCGAGTGTTTCACACTTTCTTGCGCCAGCCACAGGTTGACATTTCACCATAACGCTCATTTATATTGATATATTAGGTTGGTTTATTGGTCAATACGTTTTTGGGGGTTGGAACGTGTGAATTCCCGTAGGGTTTTACAGAAATGTGGGTTGGGTTCCTGTAGAGTTTTTGATTTATTTTGCGTCAGTCCGTAAACTTTCAAAGATGGCGGTTACATCCGTAGAGTTTCATTGGCCGATTTTAAGCGCTTTTTGTGCTAGTTTTACGCATTTTTGATCATTATTCTTCTTATTTAAGCTTGTTTTACCCCATAATTTCCCTGATATACTTCATGCCCTCCCCTGCTAACGGGACTATCAAATCAAGATCGTCGATGGAGAAATGGTACTCGACTTAGTCTCAGATCTCAACTTGTCATCATCATCATCATCATCATCATCATCATCATCATGATCATCATCATCATCATCATCATCATCATCATCATCATCATCATCATCATCATCATCATCAATCATTTTTGTTATTGTTGTATGATTCGTTTTATAATAGATTTGTCAAAAACATTTGGCGTTTATATATGCCATGTCTTTCTTTTATTTATTTTACGTCTTTATTATGCCATGTCTAAGCTGCAACATGAGAATTACAAAACTAAATTCACGTAGAATATATGATATAGGACTATAAACAATCGCTGATAATCATCGCCTGTAGAATCTGTCCAGTATGCAAATCATTCAACGTGCTGACATCCAAAATTACTTTTATACCAGCTCATTACCTTTTTCTTATCTCCCTCCCACCCTACCATACTCTAATTCCCTCCGCCCCCCCCACTGCTCTCAGCTCTCGCCATGTGATGCCATAGGCCTTATCACCCAAAGTTGCGCAGAACTCCGAAGTGACAAGACCTGTACTTATATAGACCGTGATTTTCCTATTTTTGACAATCGAGATATCCTGTACAATATTTATATCATCAAACTTCTCGTCTGATGAGAATGAATCTGATGATCATTCCTGTCTGAATCTTGGCTAATAATCATGATGTGTTAAGTCCTGAGTTTAATTTACCAAGAATGACACACAAAGATAAGGGGAAATGGACAGCACCATCTTATAAAGTGCAAGAAATATTGTAAACTATAATATAGATACAACTAAACAGCCTCATATTTAGCGCAATAAGACAAAAATATTTGCTGCATATTGCTGCTCAGACTAAGTCCACAACACACTCACACAGCTAGAGTTCTTAACCCGACCGCAGTGGGAGATGTCTGAAGACATGTTACTGAGAAGGGCCCATGGGCCAGGAAAGGTCCTAAGACTTAAAAGTGCCTTTTCTTTTTTCTCAGACTTATGACCGGGAATATTAGCTGCTGATGGTGAAATTTCATCTCTCAAGCCTCAAGTAAATTGGCATCATTCAGTTAAATTAAGTTAGATGAGTAAAAACACCTAGGCTGCAAAATTGCACAATAAACTCTTAAAATTGGCCAATTAAACTGTATGGACATAACCGCGATATTTGAAATTCTACTGACCGATGTGCCAGAATTCAAAAACTCTACTGGAACCCAATCCACCTTTCGATAAAACTACAGGAATTCACAAGTTCCAATCCCCCCAAAAAACGTATTGACCAATAAACCAGCCTAGGGTTGATGGGGGGCCCTCAATACCTCCCAGGACACATTCTCTTCACCTCGGTATGTATGGCAAGACCATAACATCACCTGGATTGTATGGGTTTAACCAAAGTGGCACTATGATATTGACAATAATTAATGTGCTGTTGTCAACCTAGAGCAAAGTGAAGATGATATTCATGTTCATCAACAAATAAATTGTAGACAATAAATGGTAATGCCGCAAATAAAGGAAAGTGCCACTCAGAGCCTAAGTCCTCTGGTGCTCCCCAAGTTTCAGCTCTATCTCGCCATGCAAGACAGGAAGACAATTTTTGCCAGGGGTGCTGGGAGGCAGAGCCCCCATCAACCCTGCACTTGATGTGAAGTTTGGCATAGTCTCTGGCGAATGTGTCCGTACCGTAAAGAATTGCCGTGGGTTTTACTGGTTCTCTCTATGCACTGAGTAGATTGTAATCACTTCTAATTATTGTCTTTGACTAGAAATTATTTGTAGCTGTAGATGTATTTTGCATCATTTAGTTTGCCAACTGACTATAAAACTATTTTTTTTTGTAATGTGTATATTTTGGTAGTGGACATAGGTTAATCTTTACATAATTTGTGATTCATCAAAAGATGGTGATGTCATTTTCTGAAGTTTTCATTAGATAGGTTTTGTTGTTGTTACAAGTTTCTTTTAAATTTTTTAAACGTTATTATCCATTCATCATTATCTTTGCATGTGCCATGTGCTTTATCTTGTACCTACATTTTGACCACATTAACCAGTTGGATTCGGTTGTGTCACGGTAATCATGATACAGAAAATACGGGTAGTTGGTTATACAAGTAGCCAACATCCTGGGTGTAGGGTGCGTAGGCTTGGTGCCAGAGAATACCCATGAGCGGTGACAAGACTGTGTGCCTCACCTTTGCAAAGTTATTGTGTGTAAACTGTTTTAGCCTTTTTGCCATTTTCCAGTTTTGATATGCTTTATCCAGATGGTAATAGCTTATTTTCTTTGCACATCCAAGGAAGAAAAAAAAAGTATGGAACATTTGGTTATTTGTGTCGTATATCTTATTTTTTCATAATTTTCAATTTTATGTAATAAAAATCTGTGCTGCTGGTCACAGTGGCCAGGAATATGGGTGCAGCATAGAAATAGTCTCCTCCCTAGAGCCTGCTCTCTTCAGGTCATGGCTTACGCATGTTACATTCCATATTCGTTTATCTATAGGAATAATGATAAAGCCCCCTTCTAAGCCCAAATGAGTCGAATCACATTCCAAGAGGTTTGTGCTCTCTTGGTGAGTCTTTTCCATCGCCCTGGCCTTTGCTCATGACAAGTTGGTGTCATCCTGCCCACAGCCATTTGGCCATATGACTGCATGTTCACATCACCCGCCCTTCGACCCACATTTTTCCATGAGGGGAGTGTAACATCATCAGGATCTTAGAGTTTTGTTATCCATCTTATTCATTAAGATTTAATGAAATTCTTAAAATAAGTACTTCTTGTAAGTTCTCTTATCCAAGATCAAATGGGACAGGGAGGGCAGGTTCCTCTCTCTGAGCAAGATGCTGAAAAGAAAATATTATTGGGGAGTGATTTGCATTTTTGCTTGATAAACAAGCAATATCAAAGATATCTTAAATACACCCCACAAATACCAGCCACACTTTCATCATAGTTTGAGTTGAAAATCAGATAGTATATTTTTGAGTGGTTCCAAATGTGATCCTAATAGGATCCTTATATATTTTTGCCACTTGTTTTGATATATCTCAAGTGGCCACATTACCACACATGTTTATTAATACAGTATTTGCAGTGTGAGCAGTTTACTGTCCTTAGCAGATTACTGTTTGGTTTGCAATAACAGCTTATAAGGTTGATAGTTGAAGAAATTAGGGCTTTGTCTCAGAAGGATGCAGGAACTTTATACCATCTCAATTTTTAATTCTGGTATTTAATGATTTGTTATGATCGAAATTTATCCTGGTACTTCATACCAAATGATCTGTCTACTTTTGACTACTCTATTTTCATCTTCCCAGTGTGAGAAGCCCAGCCTCAATGTATCCCAGTATTGGATACCCAGAGCATATTGAGTATCAAACACTGATTGATCTAGCTCTGGTATGCTGTCATCAAAGTTAAGAATAAGATCATTGTGAATCTCAATTAATTTGTCGTAGACGACTCTAACTACTTTGGAGAATGATTTGATTTCTTTGAGGATTATTAAATAATACCACCTAAATTGATTTTTTGTATAATGAGACACGAACAGGTACATGTGCATGGTTAGAAAATAAAAATTACTGAATCACAACTTAACCTATCTCTTAAACACCCACATAGAGCAAGATATTTGAACCAGTTTTCTTATAGGCATGATTGACTAATAACTAGGTGCCTGTATGAAAATAGGGAAGAAGGGTAAAACTGGCAGGTAGTCAGTAATCAGTGGTAGAGTATCGTTTCACACCTTGTGAGTGCACCCAGACACTTGGACAGACTGGTTTTGTTTGCACCATTTCTGCTCTGATACTGACATCATGTAGTGCTGCATCTCAGGGGTATGAGATGACCTCTCATGGAGGTATAACCAGGGGGTATGAGATGGCCTCTCTTGGAGTGTCACTGTCATAGATTGTTAATTCCTAGGCCTTTGACAGTGTTGGATGGATGTTTTTTAAAGAAAGCTTCAAAATAATGAAATTTGTTAACACTGATTATTACTTTGGTTCAGCAATATTAATGAAATCATATTCAAATGAAATTGCTTTTCTAAAGATTGTGAGATTTAGTAAAACCATTACTAGGGGTGTACTGCTTACAGAAGGTATATTGAATAACTGGCTTGATTTTCCATTATTTTCTGGTAAAAGTTAAGGCAGCTACTGCAAGTAATGTATATCTATATGATTTTTAGGACTGCAATAAAAAAATTCTTAGAATTCATCAATCTGTCATTTATATGTGCAACTATATGTACACCAGAGGCCAATATCTTTATATCCTTTCCTTTCCAGGCAGGAGCTTATGAGTATGAAGAGGAGGGTGAGAAGGGAGGAGCAAACAAGAAGCCAAATGGACTGCCTATTTGGGGCAATGAAAAGTCCATGAACTTGAACCCCCTTATCCTAACCAACATCCAGTCCTCACAGTATTTCAAAGGTAGGTAAGGCATTGAGTGTTCTTCCACTTAATTCTTGTGTACTAGATACAAGGTTGGGTTAGGTGGTGGTTAGGTTTTGCTTCAATGGGAATGTCATACTGATATGCATTTTTTTTTTTTTTTTTTAATAATTAATTAATTATTTTTTTTTGTTACCTGGTTAGTTTTGCGTTTGTTGGTTGGTTAGCAGGATAATTAAAAAAGTTATGGATAGATTTTTCTGAAATTTTTTACTAGAGGTGTATCTTAGCCTAAGTTAGATTCCGTTCAGTTTTGGTGGTGATCTGGAAGGTGATCCAGATCCAGGAATTTTTTGAGTGATAGCATCAGTTACCCCTATTGCTACCCCTATTGCCTTACCTTCGCCAAGGTGGTAACGTTCACTGACGTCACATGTGTCCTTGAGAAAGATGATTTTAATGTAATTCTTTAGGCAATAATTATTTTATTCCTTGGTGTTATAGATCCACTGTACTTGTTTTTCCAGGTTTTCAAAAATAAAAATGGTTGAGAAATCAACTTTGTTTTTTACCCACTGCACCTAATCCGACACTTGGACTTTGATATGAACAAAAATATATTTGTAAAACCAACTTTACTATTTTACTGCCGATGTTCAACATAGCCAACCATCTTTAGAATAAATCAATGCAGATATAAAAAAAAGATGATACCCTTATCTCCATTTGCTTTCCGGTGATGTGTACATGATTCGAAATACATCTGAAGGTACTGGAGTCAAGGTCTGTAGATATAACCAAGAGAAACTGCCACAATCAATGGTATCTGTTATTTGTCTTAAGCACAATATGGCAACGGTTCTGTCAAACCAGATTAGAGTATTTTCCTTGAGCGGGGAATATTATATTTTTTCATGCGCAAAAAATATTTGTCTACATTTGCGCGGGCAGACTTTGACCAAAGAATTTTTGCACGGGGAACCAAACCCTGGTCTGGCTGTTAAAGGATGTCATTACCTGTTTGTGGGCACATGAACAATACTGATTCCAGAGGTGATGTAGTTTTGTCATTGGTATTTTATTTATTTATTTATTATTATTATTTTTTCTGGCTATCACGTGTTTCCAGAATAAACTGTTCTAAAAAAAAGTCAAAGCACCCAATTATTATTATTATTATTATTATTTATTTTTTTTTTTTTTCAGCTGCTTGTCAAAGGTTTTCAGAAATAAAATCAGTAAACCAAGGATTGAAATAATTGTGGCCTTAAGCGTGAATATTCTTATTGCATCAGTGACCTTATTGCTGTGGCAGAGGTATGTGGTCTCTGAGTGCGTCTAGTTATTAGAGTGAGACTAGGGAGGAGTTTAAGGAGAGCTAGAGCTTTTCACTAGAGAGAAAAGGGATGAAATCCAGTAGGAGCAAGATAAAGATTAAGAATGAGTATATGAAAAGGACAGAGCAAAGGAAGTGTATTGGAGACAGGATAGATTCTGATGATTTGGGCTTGTACAAAGCAGTCATGCTGCAGCCTATGTCGGAAGAATCCTGTGGATTGAGCCACTAGGCTGCAGGAGAAGGCACCACAACACACACGCATGCACACGTACGCACACAAACGCACGCACACGCACACGCACACGCACACGCACGCACACACACACACACACACACACACACACACACACACACACACACACACACACACACACACACACACACACACACACACTCTCTCTCTCTCTGCTCTCACACACACACACACACACACACACTCTCACACTCACACACACACACACAATGAGTCAAAATGAGTCAAATCACACTCCAAGAGGTTTGTGCACTCTTGGTGAGTCTCTATCACCCTGGCCTTCGCTCATGGATGCAAGTTTACAACACCCAGGCTGTGGGCAATTTGTCCTATGATGGCATGTTCCTGTCACTTGCCCCTTGACTCAAATATTTCCATGAAGTGACTGCAACATCATCCGGGTCCAATGGGTTAATAATATTTTCTTGTTTCAGTGAATTTGTACCAGCTGAAAACCTACCATGAGGTGATTGACGAGATCTACTACAATGTGACCCACCTTGAGCCTTGGGAGAAGGGCAGTCGCAAGACCTCAGGCCAAACAGGAATGTGTGGGGGGGTGAGTGTAGGAGCTTAAAATGGGCTCTTCTGTTCTCCATTTGTTCCAGCTCACCTCTTGTAACTATTCTGTCTTGAGATATGCAGCCACAGAAATTAATGATCTCTTTATACCCTGATTGCTGAGGAAGATAAGCATGAATTTGGTTTGCAAAGTGTAGGAATAAAATGAAATACTTTGTTGCTTTTGGAAGTGTAGTATGTTGATGTGTGTAAAAATATTTGACCCAGTTGCATTGGGTGTCACACATAAGTGACACCCAGAATGCAGACCTGGGCCGGCTGACCCACCAGTGCGATGCTAGATTAGAGCTTGCGCTCTGATTTTGTTCCCTTAGGTGGGTGGTGTGTGGGCAGGATCCCGGACTGGCCTGTGCGCCGATTTTGATACCGCCCGGATATCAGGATTATCACCCTCCAAATGGACTGTCATGGGTGGGTTAATCACCCAAAAGTTATATCATCACTGACAAATATTAATTCTCTCCCTGTTGTCTACAGGTACGAGGTGTGGGTGCAGGAGGCATTGTCTCTACAGCCTTTTGCATTCTCTATAAGTTGTACACACTTCGACTCACAAGAAAACAGGTGACAGGGTTACTGAATCACAGCGATTCTCCATATATTCGTGGTCTTGGGTTTATGTATATAAGGTAAGGTTTTCTAGTTTCTTTTTTAGGACCTTTACCATGTGTTACTGAAATGGTAAGCATGGGAACTGAGTTATCAGAGGCACTTTTGTGAAATATTTTTGGCAATGAATTTTGTTTGCTGTATTAAGCCAATCGCGATGGGTGTCCCATATATGAGACACCCGAAAAAAATAAACAATGCCGGGTGTCCCGCCAGTGTGACGCTGTATCAGGGTTGTGCTCTGACGCAGCAGTGGGCCGCGGGTGGACAGACTCCGGGGAAGCTTCGCCCGCGGATTTTGTAGCCATCCGGAATATTAATATTTTTATTTTGGCTACAAAATGTACCCGTCGCGAATGGGTTAATGCGACTTGCTTTAAAAAAAGTCAAGCATTATTATTTGACTGTATATGTTTCAAACCAGTTATGTGTCTGTGTACTGAATATTACAAGGGTTAGACTTTTTTCATGACAATGTTTGTGTCTTTTGTAGACATTGATAATGCCTATTCTTTAGAACAGTATAGGGACGGTTATCATGACGTCACCTGAGCTGTCACGTGATCATTTGGAGGCAGTGGTGGGCAAAAACAACAACAAAATCCCACGAACTTTCTTATTAAGTATTGGTCTGTTGCTAACATCGTCCCTTTTTTTCTCGATTTATAAAAGATTCGCATCCTTTTTCACCCTTATCAAAGAAACTTCAAAATGGTAAACAGTTGCATTATTATTGGATATGCAACGGTTCAACTTTGAGTTTTAATTGTTTTCTGAAAGACCCCAAGAGAAGGAGGCTTTGGCTATCAATCGCAAGAACTTTGATCCTGCACCTGGGAGTGATGTAAGAGTTTGTGCTAATGGTACGTACGTTAGCTTTTCTATAAAGATATTCTGAAATTTAAACGGTTATGTTATATCGTCATAACTCTCTCTAGGGTTAGGCCTAGGCCTAGGCGGTAGTAAATGTTGTGGGTGACTGGTTACTATTGAGTATCTTCTTTCACTTTAAGTTTCAGTTAATTTGATTTTAAAACTTTCCCTGAACAAAGGTCGTAAGACATTAAATAGGAACAAAATGAAGATGGTAAATCTGATGACTGCTACACTGGACTCTCAACTACTTCTGGAAATTAGCTAAGAACCAGTCTTATTATAAACAGTATTGAGTACTTACTTGTACCCTTCCAGAGATTTGCAGGCCTTTAATTCTTTTTATGTGTAAACACCAGGTGTTTGTATAAAGATTGGTCAACCAAACAATTAGAATGGCCCAGCAAATACAGATAGCTATATTCTGATTTTTTCTTATATTGAATACCAAATTCCATTATCCTGTTTTGTTTTAAAACTTAAGAAAAATACTTGAAAGCTTCAAGTGATTTGTAGGCTTTCAACTCCTCCTCTTTTGTGTAACTACCTGGCTGTGTATTAGGTAGAGTTAAATATCACCAAAACTAACATGGACTAACCATTGGGGCTTTCAGACCAGCCATCAGAGAGAGAGAAAGGATCTGGTAAGCTTTCTGTATCTTTAGAATACTTAAGTTTTTCATCATGACGTTTTTTAGCAACTAAATCAAGAGATTTGTAGTAGGCTGACATCGTTCTCACTGCTGATTCAGTGGTCATTGTTGATCTTTTGCCCACCAGTGTTGTACGTGTGCCCGAAAAAGCGTTGTTGTTTTTTTTGATGACCGTCCCTATACCCATATCAAGTTCTGTATAAAGATTACATAAAAGGGATTGTATGTTATACAGTATATGTTAGCATAATAAATTTAATTGTACTCTACATTTTTCTTTCATGGCCAGATATACGCAGCCGCCAGCAGACCTGTGGGACTGGTTTGAACCATACTTAGATGATGAGGAGGTAAGTGTCGTCACCACCACCAGCCCAGCCTCCCTTCTTTCTTTTTTCCCCGGCTCCATCAACCCTTTACCCATGTCTCTGAACCTCCATTTCCACCTGTGTGCTCTGTCAGTCTTCGTCCATTCATATCTCTTCTTCATACCTTTCTTCCTCTTACATAATTCATTGTTGCTGTGAGACAGTGTGGCAAACCTAGTTGGAACTGTGTTATACTTTGTGGGTTCAGCAGACCATCGAAGTCTATTAAATAGTTATAACATTAAAGGTTTGTTGTTTAAGAATTTGTCTGCTCACTTCCAGAGAAGCTGATTACAAAACTAGGAAGTTTTTTTAGACTTTTAAATAAACAAAATGTAAGCAGGAAAAGTTGATTATAATTGGTAAAGATTAGTAGGTCACTTGCTCCATTTTACATTGTTGACATCATTTTTCTTGTTCATTTTCCATCCTTCTTTCTGTTCTTTCTTCCCTTTACCCCTCCTTCCCTTTAAAACCCCATTCCTTGTCTTGACTGGTGGTGGTTCGGCAGTGGAACGACATCCACACACTTTACGGTGAGTAACTATCAACTTTTGGTTTTTGTAAATGTCTGTGCATGTTGGGAGGGTTTTCCTACAAGGTGTTATGTTCATACTTATTTTTTCAAAATTTTATGGATGAAATTCATTATGAAGAGTTGATATTTATTGATAGTTATCTTGTTTGCAGTAAGACAAAGAAATACTGCATGTTGAGATTAGAGTTTTTTCAAATATATGAATGAAGAATATTACAATGTATTGAATATTTTAATGAGTACAATATCAGGCCTTTATTGTAAGAACAAATCTTTTTCAATACTGTGGAAGAAGCATTCTACATATATTAGTGACAATATTAAGATATAACTTTCAATCCAGTCCAAGTCCAATTGCCATTAGAGTGAAGAGAGTTAAAGCAAGGAGCTCTAGGTAGGCAGGGAAGGACCAGGTGTGGGGATTAACCTTGCTGTTTTTCCCAGGCTAAGTGGTGGGCCGCAGCCTCCTGAACGCCAGTTGACCTCTGGGTTTGAGCACCACAGGTTTCTACCCGAGACTTCATCATGTTAGCTGTGTAGAGGCACTGGCACATGCAGGGGGCTGCTCTGAGAAATTGCACTGCTCCTCTTTCCTTTTTTTTCTATTTGACAAGTTTTATTTTTTTTTATGAGTAAATTGAGAAACAAAAGCTGTAAGTTGCATGCGTAGGCTTTTTTCTTTTCTTTCTTTTGGCTATTTGATCAAGTACTTAGTAAAAGTACTTCATGATTTGATTTAAATCTAGATCCCCTTATTATTATCATTATTATTGTTCTTATTATTTATGTATTCATTTACATGTTCATTTATGTATTTATTATCATTATTTATTATTATTATTATTATTTTTTGTACCCAAAAGTTTCAAAGACATTTAGAAGTGGTACCTGCATGTGCCATGTTTTCGGTCCAGTTTAAAGCCCTTGGGGTGTGATATCAGAAAACCCTCCCAGAGCAGTGAGTTAACATGCCATGCTCTTTCAAGGTCTTGTCTGAATATTTTTGAATGTACTTGCCTCTGAACTAGTCTGAAGATTCCTTTTTGTGTAACCTTGAAAGAAAATGGATCATTTGATAGTACACAATTGCAAAATTGCTAGAATTAGGTTAAATTTTCGGTGATTCAAATTTTGCTGGCTTATAAATGTTAATGTTACTGTTTTTGCTTCACTGAAATTCATTTGATCATTGATACGACTGACTAAGCAGAAAGATGGTAGAGGGTATTTGATATGAAGGAACCTCTAGGAATGGAGTGAAAATCCTGGGCAGAAAGCATGTCTTGGCAGAATTGCGCATTGAGCAAAAGATGTTCCATTTTCATTTTTGAGAAGAAAAGCTTTCAGTATTGCAGTGTTACTGCCTAATTTATGTATGCTCAAACCTTGTCATTTACTGCACTTCATTCAAAGAGTGGACTTTATATTGAATAGTAGTATGTAGTTCTTAAGTTATTGTGGTGTTTGACCCGAGTCTAAAATAGATTGTCTTTCTCTCGTTTCATTACCAGGAAATAGATGTGCGAGCAGGAGGGGGTCAGACCATCACCATAGGTCAGGTTGTGCGTCACATGCTCACCAAGCTAGACTGGTACTCCACCCTATTCCCAAGAATCCCTGTGCCCATCCAGAAGGACTTGGACAACAAGCTGGGAGAGCGTGCTTCATCCAGACCAGCTCTGTCTGCTGCTGCTCCTGCCAAGACAGAGAGGTATGCAGGTCGAGGGGAAGCAGAGCC